GTAAAAACAATAGCTTTAACTCAAAATAGAAAAGGAAAAAGGTTTGATAGGCTGCAGCCCTATAAAACTAAGTAAAGCCTCACCTCATAACTCATTAAAAGTTGTAATTCAATTGTTGAAAAAACATTATGGTTGTAAAAGAAAATTAGGATTTCTAGTTCTAATAGTCTATATTGCAGCGAATGATCTAGACCATCCATTTCCCCTTAAGAATAAATATTAACGGATCTACAAGATTTGTACTTTTTTTTAATTTCAAATTTTATTATTGATGTTGGAAATTGATTTTAGAACCATCATGATGATTTCCGATACCCAAAGTGCTTTCCAGATGAGGATTTGAGGTGGGGCTTTATTTTGTTTTCATGAAGCCTAGGCCCTATAAAAACTTCATCCAATAAATAAATGCTTTAGTTTACATAATCAAATAATAAAGACATAATAATAAGACACAATATACAAGGGTGAGGCCTAGACAATCAAATTAAGGCACGTTTCAAAAATTCACAAGAAGAGGTTGTTTCAATGCCTAAAAATCCTCAAATTAATCATCTCGACCTGTATGGGCATGAGAAAAAATAGATTTCAAGTCTTGAAAATAATGCATCTTGTAATACATTTTTTGGACCGTCAATTTTCAAGATTTTCAAGTGTTCATAGATCTGCTAGATTTACATTATTTTTTTCTTTTAAAATTTTTAATTAGGGATGAAATAAATGTTTAGGCCATTACCAAAAAGGGAAAAGTTTATATAAGGTTGCAACCTTAAAATGTATAATCCCAGATGCACCTAAAAAATCTATTGGAAATGTTGTTTTAATGTTGAAAAAGCCCTCTAATCAATCATCTCAACATCAAGATCTATGAATATGAAAAAAAAAGTTTTTGAATCTCGGAAATAGTGCATCTTACAACCCATTATCTAGACCGTCCATTTTTAAGATTTTCATTTATTTATAGATCTACTTGATTTTAACCATTTTTGGAATTTAAAATTTTCTAATTAGGTATGAAAATATATTTTAAGATAATGCTAACAATTTTTTACAATAAAATTACATGTTATGATAAAATTTTAAGTTGCATCTTAATTGGATAATTTAAGGTTGCAACCTTATAGAAACAATACCCTTACAAAAATTTTCAGTATTGAGCACACTGTTTGAAGGTGCGTCTTATTTTGATTGCTTAATACCTTTGACTTATACAAACCACAATTTTTTTAGGAAAAAGTTTATATAAGGAATGTAGAACTACGGATGTCCCTCAAAAATCCATAGGAAAAGGTAGTTTTAATGTTGAAAAACCCTTTGATTGATCATCTCGACATCGAGATGTATGCCTATGAAAAATAAAAAGATTTTAAGTTTAAAAGATAGTATCTTTTACAATATATTATCTATACCGTCTATTTTCAAGATTTTCATATGTTTATAGATCTACTTGATTTTAAGCATTTTTTAAATTTAAAATTTTATAATTAGATATAAAAATAGATTTTATACCATGATAAAATTTGAAAAGCAACCATATGCCAATTACGCCTATTTTTTATTAGAAATTGTGAGACCATTTATTTTTTGTACATAAATGTCTCAATCTCTCCAAAATGTTAAATAGGAAGGATAAGGGTTAGTGACAAAGTCCAAAATTTTATTTTTAAAACTAAGTCTATTTAGTGAAACTCCTACGACCACCACTTTTGAAATTACCTCTATGTATACAATCCCTTTTTAACGTTGTTGGATGGAATGGAACTCTTGGTTATCGTTGCGGTTATGCGGGACTACCTAGGCCAAATATCAATTTCCTAACGCTAGTACTTTGTCGGTGCTCAAAGGAAATTATATACGGCAAACATTAGAGAGAGATAAAAGCATAGGAAAAAGAGATTTAGGAATATTTTAAAAGACACATTTTATAAAAGTTAATTTTAAAATGTCAATTATTTTGAAAATCAAAGTTTTAAACAATGTTAATTGAATCAAATCTATTATTGTAACAATGAGGTGTTTGGTCCAATCAAAACTAGTTCAATCACGAATAAAACCAGTTTAGATTGGATTTTAGAAAAATATAAAATATTTCAAAAACTTTTTCAACTTCATTTAGCTAGTCGAACCAGTAGAAACGGTTGGTCTGACTAACCAAAATCAATAAAACATTAATTTTAAATTTACCTTGGATCAAACCAGTCAAAGCACTTACAGGATCACCAGTTCAGTCCGGTCTTGATATTTACACTTTTAAATCTTATGTTTAAAAGGGGATAAAAATGATTCATCCTTCGGAAACTTGGGTGTGGTGATAGTACCCCATACTCTATTCACTATATTGTGGATTTCATTCCCACCACTACCACCATCTACTTATACCTTCAAAAAAAACTAACTCTAAACCTACTTTGCAAAAAATGAATAGAGCATGTCTTCTTCACTAAATTACCTAAAAAAACGAGCTTCGAACAAATGGAAGGGACAGTTTTGTATTTCCAAGTTTCTCATGAGATTTCGAGAATGAAAATATTGACAGCTTGTGGATATTCATTATTCATTCACATCGACTTCAATCCAAAGAGGATCACATGAACGCATTCAGTCCTTTCCTTGCATTAATAATAGAGAGAGAGAAGCCACCCGTTTTGCGTGAGTCAAGATATTTTCACCATCTCGTACGACTGTACGCTTAATTTTTTCCTTATAATAAATTTGAATGTATAAGTACAATAAGAAATTATTTATTTTTAATACAAAAAGTTACAGACGGTCGCATTTTAAATTAGATGAATGGATAAGTACACAAATAAATTATTTATTTTTAATATAAAAAATTCCAAACGGTCACATTTTAAGTTAAATGGTTGCAAGTGCCTCATTGACTAAATTCAAAATTTCATAAAAAAAAAAAACTACCGATTTTCGTGAAACATTATAAGCCATCAAATTTGACCTCCTAATCTTCTCATAGTACCATCCCAATTTGAATATAGGAGTGTTTTTAGCTTGTAAGTTTTGGAGATGTACTCTCTTCAACGTAGCGACAAATTAAACCAATAAGTAAATAAATATATATAGACCTAACATGGTTTTTAAAGAATGTTACAATATGTTATTATATGAAAAAGTATACAACAAGACAAATTATTAGGGATAAAATGGTCATAATTAATCTTGACTATTAGATGTGAAATTGTATGATTGCATTTGTTCTATTGATCAAGCTCTAAGTTCAAACAAACTTTCTCAAACTGTATGACACACCCAAGCTATCAGATTTCACATAAGATGGTTGTAAGTAATTGTAATCTCATTGTGCTAAAGATAAATAGTCTCAATCATTCCCCTATATATATATCAAACACCCCCTCTGTGAACCTGAAGTAAATAAATCTTAAAATTGAACATGGATCATCCAATTTTTAACAGTCAAATCGAAGAGATAAAGAACTCAAATTCTAAATATATTTTGAAAATAATCATATGGTGATTCTTAAATGGATTCCCAAATTAGATCTAAAATATTCTTCCTAGGGCTTTTACACTAAAAGGAGTAAATGAGCACTATGCTCCTGCAAAGGCATAAGGGCTAGAAACCAAAGGAGTCAAGTCCCCCGAAAGTTTATCTTAAGGGATCTAGGCTTATTATTTTAGATATTTTGCTCTTCGATTCATTCCACAATTCATGTTCTATTTAGTGGATCCAAATGTTACTTGTACCATGTTTAACAGTTTTCTAGAAGGTGTGAGATACAGAAAAAGATTTCTCTTATTTGGGTGGGATCGAGTTCTAAATCCTTACCTGCCCATCGACGGCCAACAATTAATAACCAAACTACAAAGTAAAAAACTTAAAGACAAAGGGGTAAAGAGATGGACGCCGGTGCCCGCCTACAATATGAGCTCCCTCGCACATAAGAAGGTTAAGAATGTCCATCTATCAGGTTGCATACTACAATGTAAAAGGTTAGTTTAAGGTGTCACTCTTATAGTATTGAAATAAGGCGCACCACAAAACTATCAGTGTCAGTGTCAAAAGCGTTGTCAATAGTTTTTTAGTGGTGTTTAATAGTATAAGATTGATATCTTATATAAAACTTTCCTATTAGATTAGAGACCAAAAACGACCAACGCACTGCTACCCACTACTGGTAACTATTATTCAAGTTTATAAATATCCAAGAAAATGGAAGAAATAGAACTCCCACAAAAGCTACAAAGGGAAATAAGAGTTCAAACAAGGGAGGTTTCTATAAGGCTGCCTCCTTATACAATAGAAGTGAGGCACGCCTCTAAAATTTGCTTAGAGGTGTCGACCAAAACCAATGGATTCAAAATCTATTTTTATCCTTTGCTGTAAATTTTTTTAAGTTCAACAAATAGTATAGAATAAGAAGCAATTGAAAATCTTGAAAATTAACCGTTCAGATAATTTATTACAAGACACTATTTTTTGAACTTAAATTTTTCTTTTTTCTTTTCAAATCTGTTCATTTTTTAAGTCAAGATAGTCAATTGGAGGATTCTCTTGCCGAAACACACGCCCCTATATAATTTTTGAAGCGATCCTTACTTCAATAGTATAAGTTTACAACCCTCTATAAGCTTTTCCCTTCGGACAATTCCCATTTACATTTATGTTCCTATTAGGCCCCGTTTGCACATCCAAGTAGTGGGCTGTCACGAGAATAGCATTTCTTAAATCGCAATGACCAGTATCAATATGGCAATGTCCAAGTCCTTGTGATGGCGGCAAAAGAGGTTTTCTTCTTTTTTCATTTTTCTTTTTTTTCTTGTTTTTTCGTTTTTCCTTTTTCTTTTTCTTTTTTTTTTTAACAGAAGTTTTGTCATAAATGGTTACATCCTGAAATTGTAACATGAATACCACTTGAGCAACTATTAGGGAATTTTGTTCCCATAAATAAAAAGTGGTTGTCTAAACAGGGCCTTAACTACTGACTTGTGGGTATTAGCTATCAATTCAAAATTTCGAATCCAATTACCAAATAGAAACAAATTGCACGGCGGGGGTGAGGCATTTCGCGTAATGATACCTCCAGTTCAAGAAATCGAGAACGAGAGAGAGAGAGAGAGAGAGAGAGAGACCCAGACTTGGTTTCATGTAGTGATACCTCCAGTTCAATTCAACACAACGAGGACAGACTCTCAACAATCACTTGAAATAGTAGGCGGCCTCCATGGTGGGCATGTTTACTCCATCGACGCCTCGCTACCGAACTAGGTTCCGAGGTTGGCTTCTAGACAGCATTAAAGAAGATGACTACACCATCACCAGAGCCTGAGGTAACCAAATCAAAACCCAGCCATCCCTCCTCTCCCTTTCATTGATCCTCTCACTCCATAGCTGAAGGCATCACCCGTAATTCCACTCTAAAACCTGAAATATGTTCTGCCATCTTGCTTCTAAATCAGGATGCTTCACAAGCACAAATCATCATAAAGAACCTCGAGTGTGGACCAATAAGGAAGGAAATCAATCGACAAACCCACAAAAACCGGGCAAATCAAACCCCACCTCTCTCCCCAAATTCACCTATATAAAAGCATAGCCCCTTCAAACAGTGGTCTCATTTCTGAGAAGCAGCAACAATCTGAAGCTGTGGGCGCTCGGACTCTGAACCCTTTCTTAAAAATGCCCTCCTCCACCACACCTCGAATGCCCTCTGAATGTTAGGACAATCATCCCCTGCATTGAGAAACCGATCAAACCAACCTAGCAAAATAGCTTGTTGTTGCTCAAGAGGCAGAGTAAGAATTGTCTGGCCCAAACCATACTCCACCACATTGCGATCAAGAGCCTTACATGCCCTCCTCATCCACCCAAAATCCTCATACAAAGGCTCCAACCAAGTACCCAAAAGCGAGCACCTCACATCCTTTGGGGTCAATATCTGGCCCTTGCCTATGGCCACACAAAGCCTAGCAGTGAGCCTGCTCACCTCATATCTGTACATTGTGGGAACCTTTGGGTGGAGCTTAGCAAGATCAGCCTGATTAGCCCACATCTTGGCGAAGTCCTCTGCCATTTGTCGGTCAATCAAAATGTCTAAAAGCCAATGGAGATTATCAGCATGACGTGAGATTTGGCTCACTGTTATCGATCTCTCATCTTGGGCCCACTCCATGAACCCTTCAGCTGTTGCTACTAAAAAATTCTGCAAAAGGAGGGCAAGACAATGGTGGCAAGCAGAGTAGAGAGACTCTTTACTGAGGTCGGTTAGGTTGTTGTGAGCTGCATTCTCTCTGAGCATTTTGGAAACAAGGGCTTTCATCTCACGCCTAGCCTTCTCGTCTCGGCCTTCGAGGACCACTTGCAGAAGCTTGACAAGAATCTCTTCAGAGCCCTCGTCTCCATCATCCATGGCCAAGACCTCGACAGAAAGCCTCTTGAGAACTTCAGAGGCACCCATGCTCTCAAGCTGGAGGTGGGTGAGGAGGAAGGCTACCTTCTCCTCCTCGTCCTCGGTCCATGGGGCGGCTTCCAAGTATTCAAGGCATGAAACAACCCCTGCATCAAACACAATGGCAGCAGAGACCTGGAAAAAGAATGACAGCAATTTCATTAGTCCTTCTGTATATAGCATTGTCTAACTTGAAGAAATTGGAGAAGATCATCACTGAACAATAATGAACATGAGTTGGTTTGTTGACTTATTCAAAGCTAAACCAGTTTTCAGAGGATTCTATGAATTGATTTACATGGGAAAGTTCAAGTTTGGACTGGAAAAGATCAGAGTTCTAATAATAATGAAATCCTAGTTCTAAAGGTGGATTAAGAGTAAGCTTCAATTGATTCAAGGAACTCAAAAGGTCTCAACACCCAGACATTTTCTTTCAGCTTTTCCTATAAGGCAGTACTCTTGCAGGTACTAAGGCAGGTCATAAAAAATCAAGGTTGAAAATATAAAAGATAAAAGAGTGGAAACAAAATGAAAAGCTAGCATAGATTCTGAGTCTTCAGAAACTACTAACTGTACTCCTCAAATGGAGGAATATTGAAATAAAGATATACAAGAATGCCGCTTTCACATCAATGGACTTTTTTTCAACATTGTGTAGCTTTCTGTATGGAAAAGAAACTTAAAATACTGGCAGTTTTGTGTTTTCAAACCTTAATACTGGCATACGACACTTCTAAGAATAAAACAGCAAAGATTTTTTAATTACTCCTCTTTTTTAAAAAAATTATCTGAAAACAGTTTCGTCGGATTTCTACTTCTTTCCTCAGCACTTATACCGGCCAAATAAGAACTAGATATCAACAAAAACAATGGCTACAATACTAAAATAGACACGACAATTTTTACGTATTGCACTGCTACAGAAACTTCGGATGAAAATCATTGGCAGGATGAATGTAGCCAGAAAAAAAAAATGGAAGGACGAGGCAGAACCAAATATGCCATGGTTATAATGGCGATCAAATAACAAACAGGGTAAGGTTTCAAACAAATTCTGCAGCAACGGATTCTCTGGAAAGATTAAAAAAGTTACATGCATTGATTAACTCAAAAACTTTTAAAAATGTTACATGCAGTGTTTAAAAAATACAGACTTGGCTCGGACTCACTAGCATCCTGAGCCTAAGTCAGCCAGTACAGCTTGGCCGAGACTCTTGTCAAAATAACACACTAGAATCCTGTACCCAGTGAGGTTAGGAAAATTCCTCAGGTTTTGGAAGTGGAACTGGGACCCTTCCAGGTCTGAGCGACTTAGGTGAGTCCGAACCGGGGATGCTAAGTTTTAGAAAACTTGTTTTTCCTGATATGGTTGGGAGAGCATGAACCGAAAAATGGAAAAAGGATCACATACAGGAAAATGATGAAAATGAAAAGAACGAGAAAATCCTCAGTACTGGAGTGACTACTGTAACCTTGGTAGGAATTATAGGGTGAACAAAACCCTCAACAATTTCACATGAGAATTATAAGTAAAAAATGAAGAGGCAAGGGAGGCCATAAATCCAAATGGGAGGACCAAACCTCATCCACTATATGCAATTCAAAACAATTTAGAAAACAGAAAACAGATGCAAGGAGAAACTCATTCACTATAACTATATTCAATAGGAAAAATATAGAAATAAAAAATTGAAACTAGCGCATCTTTCAACTGAATGCAAAAATTCAATTCTAGGAAAAATAACATATAGGATCAATCTTATACTCCAAACGTAAGGCACACCTCAAAAATCCACAGGAAAAGGTTGCTCTGATGATGGAGAAACACCATCCAATAGATCATCTCGCCCTAGAGATGTATGGATATGAAACAAATAAAAAAAGGATTTTCCAAATCCTAAAAAATAGTGCATCTTGTAACACATTATCTGGACTGTCTGTTTTCAAAATTTTTGAGTGTTTACAGATCTGCTTGATTAACACCATTTTTTAAACTTAAAATCTTATAATCATAGGGGAAATAGATTTTCAATTCATCATAGGGGATTTCAATTCTAGAACTAGATCTCCCGAAAGGGTTTGGAAGTACACCTTTCTCTCTTTCTCTCTCTGTCTTTCTCTCTCTATTTATCT